AAGGAGCCAAGAAGCCTTCTTGGTTGGAAAATCCAGCATCGGCAAGGTAGTATCTACCTATATATGTAAATTTTTGTTAGAAAGTTTCTGACAAAGAGTTCTTCAAGAAAATTGACGTACCTGGTGGAACTAGGAAGCGTCCGTCTTGACGGGCTACCTGAAGAACCCGGCTATCATGTGCTCTACCTTCAAATCCTGCAAGGATGAAGGTAAAGCTTCCATCAAAGTCGCAAGCTGCCAGCACGTTTTGGCTGAAGGTGCCTTTGTGATTACGATAAGGAGCCTGGTTGGCCTCTGGAACAATTGCCTGAATATGGGTTCCGTCGATAGCTCCGACACATCCTTGAGACCAGGGATAAAGGACTGGAGTGCTACTGATAGATTGTGGAATTGGAGCTCCTGGATTCGGCTGGATGATCAATCGAGATTCTAGATTCTCAAGAGCCAAAAGGACCTTATTGTAATATCGTGAGATTGTTTCTCCAGAATGTTGAAACCTCTCCGAGGCGAGAGCGTTTGACCCAGCATTTCCAACCACAAAAAGAAATATCATCACTTGTTCCATGACAGTGACATGTTTGGTATCCTTGAGGTCTCCTTGAAGATGTCTCACTAGGCCATTAAACGCCACTTTGTTCATTCGGCATAATTCTCGGAAGCGTACTGGGCTCCCTTCGTAAACCTCACGCGCATACATAGCGCCTGTAAGTGCCAATGTTCGACACGGAATTTTGGGGCGATTTGCTAGTTCAATACGATCACGAGCAGCACCGATGAGGAGCTCCATCAGTTCTTCATCGCTGTCTGAGGAAGCTGACGATGACGAGGACGAGGAGGTCCATTGATCTTCGTCAGATGAGAAGTCAGAGTCTGACATGGTTTTTGAGATGAAGGAGTTAAGTTTGAAATGGTGGTCAAGAAAGGTAATGATGATTGAAGTTGATCAAATCTGATCAACTTCAGCCAAACATGAATTGCATTATCAGGTACATTAGTTACAAAAATTCAAAAAAAGGAGAAAAATCGAATTAATGCATTTTGTGGCAACAAAATGCACTCGACTTTAAGGCACATTAAATTAATTAACCCCAGCCAAACGTAGCCTAAGTATTGCACCAGACATCATATACGCCTACAAGAATCATACTCCACGCTACCACTCTAAGAGCATCCGCACTCGTGCGGTAAGTCGGGTGCGGTAAGGTTAAATTTACCGCAAACGCGGGGTCTTTTCCACACCGGTGAAAAATTAGCCCCGCGGTAGTTAATTTTCGGTCATTTTGCGTTAGCGAATCGGGAAATTTACCAATTGGCTAACGCATGCGGTATCACACATCACGACTTGTTCCCGGCAACTCAACCAGACCTCCAACACCAAAGTCAACAACCAATATCTCCTTTTCACCACTCACACACGATGAATTCCAAGCCTTACAGTTGCATGAATCAACTCGAGAACGTTCGACACCGATCGATGTCTTCAATTGAAATAAGTCAATCAACCATCTTGAACTCGACTCCAAACCATTCAGATGAAAATGAACGATGTCTAGATTCATATAGCTATGTAGAGGTCAATATTTAAGAAAATCAACATTAAAAGACCAATCATTGGAGGACTTTTAGGATCAAGTGATACAAATTAAAAATTGAAGTTTGGATTTTTATTTCCTAGTTTTAAATCTTTAAATCTTTTACAAGATCATTATGTGTATTCAGACTCATTAAAAGCTTTCTCGATGTAGTAAAGCCTTTGTTTTTTAATTGGAATTCATGTATTAAGATCTGAACAAACTCATGTTAAATTTGTAATTTTAAATTAAGATCTATCGATCGAGTAGATGAACAGGATGATATCGGGTCTTCATGTGTAGATGGAGTATTAGTATCTTAGTGCAAAGAAGAGAACAGTGCCTCTATCACATGAAAACTGGCCATGAAAGCAGGTGATGTGTACTCAAAAAATTAAAACTTTACCTTACTGCACGACCGGTGCGGAGTACATGCACTATCTGTAAAGTTATAAAAGTTACAGCGCTGCTAATGCAAACGAGTGCGAAATTTGGTTGAGTTAAGTAACTTTTTACTTAATGTTGTGTTTGTTACCGCACGTGACCAAATTAACAACCGCAAACGAGTGCGGATGCTCTAACTGTTTGACACAAATTTTAATACAGTCTAACCCGCGCTGTTGTATACCCGCGCATATGCATATCCAGCCAAAATGCATAGGTTTTGGTCTCCACCACGCTGGTGCGGGCCAAAACAAGATTTTAATTGCATATTGCATGATGCATAGGGTCAAAGCAAAAAAAATTATATCTTGGAAGCGGTATTGCATAGGTCAAACCCAGTGATGTGGTGGTGATACTGACAAAAAGCAACAGCAGTTGTGCTTTGGAATGATCAGCAAAGTGATATCACCCACCTCACACGATCTTCGGCTCCCTTAGATCAATTTGCATCTTTTTTCATCATGTCTGCTACTGAAAACAAGGAATTAGCTCACATAGAGGGCACTGGTACAGCTTCTGGTCTCAAATTGGACAACTCTTTGCAGAAGTATGCCGAGATGCTTGAGTCCGAGCTGTTTTTTGGTAACAAAAAACAAGTGGCAATAACTGATTTCTTCCAACGTGTGACTATATCTAACACTTGATTATCGATAGCCTTCAAAAAAACTTCAATTTCTTTCTTTTTGTACATGTCGTACCAAATAAGCACAAGTCCTCAAAAGTTATTGTTTGTTGACTGTTTTTTGTAACACATTGTACTTGATAAAGCATGTTCTTGAAAACAATTGTTTTTGTTTCTTTCTGTACATATCGTACTAAATAGACAACAAATGTCCTCAAAATTAAACACTTTCTTACTGAAGTTTTCCCACCTTCACCCTCTCTTGTCCCATATGGGTGGGGTAATACAATAACCGTACTAATGCATAATTCTATGCAATACACCCCAAAATCTAAATGCATATTTTTATGCATTTTGGGGGTGTAGGTCAAAAAGCATAACCCGTCTAATTGCATAGGAAAGTGAGTCTCCCCAAATTATGCATTAGCGCGGGTTAGACTGTATCCATCTCTACAAACAAGAATCAAGTGTGTCAATTAACCTGTCATCTTCTTAGTCTGTAATCAAATACACCCTGAGTTGGTTTAAAAAGAAAATGTAGAGAAGGGCTTAGCGCAACAACAGAAAATACCAGTTTGATTTAGACTACATATGCGTATCGGTCTACTAACTTAACAAAGTCCCTCGATGCCTCGACAGCTGTCATTCAAACTAGTTGAATCCGCATGTCTCAGCATGAGGGACTTACCCCTAATGTCTGCTTTTTGGCCTGAAGGCTTAGGCCCTTCTTGGTGGAGGGCATCTTGTTTTCCTCTTTTCCGTGAGCACACCGAAGATTTTCTGCCAACCGTGCACACAGATGTGCGCTGAGTCTTGCTCCATATCGTACCGGTGGACTCATCAAATTCCCCTCGTTCTTCACTGAGCTACATACATTTGAATTTTTGTAATTTCCACATGTAGCTCGACTATGTCAGGGGACTGCTCACTATAGAACCAAAGAAGTCCTCGACCTTAGTCGAGCTACATGTCAAAATTACACAAATGCAATTTGATGTAGCTCAGCGAGGAACCAACGTTCAGGGATGCTTTCAGTTGTAAGATGTGTAGGCAGAGCGAGCGCATATGTGGCTGAGCGGTTGGCAGAAAATCCTCGGTGTGCTCGCCGAAAGGAGGAAAAGAAGATTGTCCCCACCAAAAAGAGCCTAAGCCTTCAGGCCAAAAACATGACCTTGGGGGTAAGTCCCTCATGCCGAGACATGCTAACTTAACCCAAGTCCAATCGTGCAAAAGCTCACGGTAACCCGAAGCCGAGGCACGAGGGACTTGCACATTAAACGACATCTCTGGCGTGACCAATAGCCCCAAAAAGTGAAATTTGGGTCACTTTTGGATGCAACCCATCCTATCTCATTCAACATTACTTTGATGTTGTTTCTGAAACTGGCTGGTATGAGTTCAGCATCTTGTACATAACTTCTATTAGAAAAAAAAAGAGAATCAAAAGTGCCAGCTCACAAGAATTGAGCTGGAAAACGAGTAATAAGTTTGTTTAAGGGAGTCAATTGACCATCTCTCGAGCCTTTTTAAGGGTACACATAACAATCTTAGCGGTTGAAATTTCAAATCTCAAAATAAGCAGCCTCAATGAATCAACACGATCATGAGCTCTGTCGAGATTCTGAAGAGGCCATTTCCTTCATAACTCGACAGAGCTCATCTGACTGTTTTTTTGAAGAAAATGCATTTGTGGGTCGTGGTGTAAAAGCGAAGTGAAAAAACACCCACCAAAAGGTGGCTATTAGTCACGCAACAATTGTCGTTTAATGTGCAAGCCCCCTGTGCCAGGGGCGGACGAGTCCGAGAAAAATCACCTGGCACAGTGGGCTTGTTGTTAAGCTAGCGAGACATGCGGATTCAACTCGTTGAATGACAGCTGTCGAGGCATCGAGGGACTTTGTTAAGTTAGATCGGTCTAGGCCAGATTCAATTAAGAAAAGTAGGGCATCTACAACTGGACAAGCAAAACTGATGGTGTGGACACTCTTCAACATCTTTTCAGGCTCCATCATGCTTTTTCAAAAAAGGACTTGCTATCCATCACAATCACCAATCAATATCCGGAAAAATCAACATGAAACCCATCTATCTTAGGAATTGTTTCCAATCACCCGTCACTCCATCCCGCTTTTTTAACACAGGACTTGCTATCTGTATGATCGCCAATCAATATCCGAAAAAAACCAACACGAAACCCATCTATCTTAGGAAGTCATTTGAAACAAGTGGAGCACACTTATGTTAAGATACAAATACCCAAGAATTCATCCCGATACCACCCCAGTCTAGTTCTAGAAACAAACAGGACCAAGCATGTCAAGTTCCAAAACTTCAAAGCGTATCCAACACGAATTCCCCACAAGATGAGACCACCCAGGGCCCTGCTCAGAGAATGTTGCCTCTGCGGTCACAACGCCTACAACTCGATCATCCGGACAAGAACGTTATCAATACAAATCATGGATACATATTGTACATCATCCGTCTGGCTCGGGATTCAAGGAACAACAAGTCGGCAAAACTTCGGAAACTGGATAGAGCTCATCCCGGCTCAAATGGTGGTTCTCGCTGTTCAGATTATCTGGGCACAGATTGTGGACGGCACGCTGCAGAGGATGATCGGATAAAGCGCTTAGGATCATCATGCAAACGTTGAATCTCCTTGCTTTCGTGCTCCTTGGTGATGCGACGAAACCGTGAACGCTTGATCACCAAGTAGGCACATCAACATGATGTGATTCGCCTTTCGATTATGGATGGAGTTGGGTCTGTTACGCGCTTGGAGTGGTTTCATCACTTGCGATTCTACCTTGATACATCTGTGTCGAGTCCCACACAACAATTATCGATTTGAATCACCAATGACGTGTTTCCTTTCAGTTTTGGAGATTTCGGCCTACCCATACTCATTCAGGTTTGGTAATCAAAGAGTTGACGGGTAAGTTTTTATCACTTGATGCGCTTGATAATAGCGACTCTGACTGATTGCAAGCCCGAGTTTTGAAATCAAGGTGATATGCAACTCACCAAGGCTGCCGAGGAGTGGGACGTAGTGACAAGGAAAACCTCTGGCGAGAATGATCTTGTGTCTGTTAGTATTTTCATATCTCTCGACACCCATCAGTACTTCTTCTTTTGTCATTTTCATTCTATGTACCCCTTTTCCAAAACCAATTATCAGAAAGTTAGGGTATTGATAACTGATGAAGTGTATCTCTTATACGACCATCGCGCTGAAGTGATGACTATCGCAGCCCGGACGTTACAACAAGTAAGATTATCTTACTACTACTCACTTTTTTATCTCATCACTTTTCAAACTTCATCACCAATACTCTTGTACAATCCATTGCAGGTTGCATCGTCACAGTCCTTGATTTGGATAGTTGGAATTTCAGCTACTTGAATTATATACATGTACCCGACTTCTTAAGAGTCAATTCAATCAGGTTTGCTCTATTTCAAATTGAGTTTAATTCAAGCTTTTGTCTTGTTCCATTAGAACAACAATCTATTGGAGGAAGAAGTAAAACAACTTCTAGTGTGTCTACAACCAATTTGGATTTAGCTGCGTTCGAAAAGGTTGTTCTCCTTTGTATTTCTATTCCCCCTTGTTAGACTAACTAGGCCCCTCGTAGGTTTCGACTCCAGTTAAAGAAAATCATCAAGTGATGGTCTTTGTGCATGCACGTAAAGAAACTGTCAAAACCTCTCAAAGGTTGATAGACAAGTTTGTTGATGAAAGTTTGCTCCGATATTTCGATTCAAGTGAACATCCAAAACATGATTCTTCAAAACGTGACTTGACTGGTTCCAGGAATAAAGAAATGAAACAAATTGTCAAGCATGGACTTGGGTGAGTATCAGGTTTGTTGCTGAATCGATCCTTAACGGTGACATTTGAGTTCTGAGCATATTCACACTTATTTTTGAAGTTCAATCAGATTGAGAAAGTTGTATTTTGTAACACCACTCATCAACAATCACCACGGTTTCGATATTCTCATTCGATCTCATCTTTATATCAACTTCTTGAGGTTGAGGAAATGAATGACGTTCTAGTTTACCTTGGAACTGCCTTGTTGATCAAATTCAAACCAAAGTGGAAAGGAAAGAGAGTCAAGAACTTGAAATCCTGAGATTTAGCACGCTCTCTCATTAGTATTGACATCATGTAGATTGAACGCAATATCAATCAACACCACAAGTCTTCTCTTCAAATTCAACTCCCTATCACGCTGATTCGATCGGTTCTCAATACCAACCTTGAGCGTGGTTCACCCAAACACAAAGCAACGCCAGCATTTACGCGTCCCGGCAAGGAGTACCAGGAGAACGCTACATCATTCTTCAATATGGTTAATTGACAATCTTCTGAAGACTCGCATGCTGGGCCGTGTAATTCTGGTCACCAATGTAGGCCGAATACTGGTTCAGGAAACGCGAATGCAACCAGCATTGAAACTCCCACCTTGGTTTACAGACCGACTGAACTCGAGGCATTGGCTCTCAAGCTCAAAGACCCCACGGGTGGTATGTCGTCTCAACTTTCCTTGAAAGAGCCTCACAGTGACAAGTTTGTTGAATTTATGTCCTAGATATGAAGACCAAGATTCATCTGGCGATTGAGCTACATGAGACGATCAGCTTTCACCAGAGAGACAAGGAACTTAGCAAACATCTCGAGGTCGTCGTCACTGCTGCAGTCGGAATTCTCACACACACCGAACCTGCATTTGTTAACACTACTTGGGATTATGTATGCCCAAGTCAATTTTCCTTCATATCATGTAATTCGTCGAAATTGCGGCCATGAATAGAAATTTCGTTACCTTCTGCTTGATACACTAGCTCGCATGCCAATGCATGAACATATGAAACCTCACGCGTTATCTGTAATGAGCTTGTTGATTCAGCTTAGCCGATCAGATAATGCCAAATCAGCCAACACCTGCTTCAAACTTGGTGTTGATCTATATCGATCCTTCAAGACCATCCTCGAGCCAACTACCACGCCTTTTTTCAACACGATCATTGAAATGTACAACATGGCGGCACCAACTTGTGAGGAGATATTCGGTGATTTCAAATTGCATTGAACCCAATTGGATGGATGTCCATTATCCCCATCTGATTCGGGACCAGCTGCGACCACTGAGGTCTCTACTTTCAAAAGCATGATCAAAGGTACAAAGGCAAATTCGATGACGAGGGCAGTGTTCGGGACGCCAAATGCTCCTGGACGCATGAACCCCGAATAAATTTCATCAGAGTGATACCAGGAATGAAATATTTCAAAGCACTACAGGAATGTCCATTTGCGGTAGTTTTCCTTCTGCAAACCTACAAGATTATGGTTCAAAATAGTCTGGCAAGCTTTTTGCCAGTCATCTTCAAAGTAAGTCTTGTAGAATCCGATTCATATAACGCAATAGCAGTGTTTTTGATTGCTACTTCTCACTTCTGATCTACTTTAGTTTATCAAAACTTCACCTTTGCCACAAGTACAATGGCACGAAATCATTGCCGAAGGTGGGCAGGGTACGTTTGTTGGTATTGCTCCGGCAATCATCAAAGCCGGGAAACGTACTCCTTACAATGATCTGGTCGTCGCACAGGTCAGGGTGTGGAATCTCATGATCTATCATTCTGTTCAATGCTAACTAATTTGTGATTCGTTAATTAGATCATGTCGTTCATAGCATATGTTTTGAGGGCGCAACCACCAGTCGTCCAACCGTTCGCGCCTGATATCCCGGTGATTGTAATTAGAATGTTGAAGAACATCCCACCAGAATCATCACCTTCTCGTCGCGAACTTATCATCGCAGCCCGTCATATTCTCGGGAATGAAACCCGGTCTTACTTTCTACCGTACCTGAACGGCTTATTTGATCATCGCATCTTCATAAGAACTGGTGTTACCTCTTTGAGAGCCTACGACATCTGGTATACAGCACCACTGCAACATCTGGTATACAGCACCACTACGACATCTGGTATACAGCACCATCGCCGAACTTGTTCAGCACACCAAAGATGACCTCAAGCCAGTTCAAATCAATTCAGTGTTGATAGACTTCATGAACGTCGTCCACGATCCTACTACTACGAGTACCACACAAGCGATGGCCAGCAAAGCGATCTTAACTCTAGTCGAATATGTTGGCTCACATAGATTCGAACCACAGGAAGCTAGTTAAATATGTAAATGGTTAACTGAGTGCTTTGTCCGAAAACTAGAGGCAATGGCCGAAACCCGTACAGGTCAGTTGGCAACCTCGATTTCACGACGTCAGCAACAACTGGTCAACTTGACATCCAAGGACGTGCTCATGAAGATGGCAGACAAGGGCAAACGGAAGGACAATCTAGATGTGGCGGATATAACGGATTATGATCGAGCACTGTCATCGCTGAACAATAGGGAACGAACTGATTTGGACCGAATGATGATTGAAAGGAGCAAAATGCCGCGGTGTCTTATGCCTATTGTCGAGCCGTCGCCAGAACAATCCAAAGGTATTCATCTCTTTCTTTCCATCTTATATGAATACAGATACCTGAAGAAGTATGACTGATCGCTCCCACAAATGGCGGGAATTGGAAATGACTTGTGCATATATCAAGCAATTTTGCAATCTCGACGGACCATCATTCGGGTTTGCATCACCAGTTCCACCGTTATCGTCAATAATTTGAAGAAGATGAAGGCTCCGCTACCCAATGCTGCACTCTTGGGCCAGTTCTTGATTGCGGGCCTACAATGCCTTACTACATATGATTATCAACGTGAATTGAAGGAGGTCAAAGAGATAGTTGACACCTCCATTCATATCTTTACTCAAATTCATATCATCCTTTTAACCGAAATTGTTGAACTCAACATCAAAGCTACCGTCAATGAACTCCGAAATAACACCGATTTCATGGCCTTCCCTCAATACCTACTTGCGAACTCAGTATTGACTAAAACATTCATTCGTATGTATCACTCTCAGGTATTTCATGAACCACTTGGATGAGCTTGGGAGAGACAGATAATCTGGGGTTATGGTCCGACTTTTCAAGACATGCTTTATGGCTGTCACATCGTTTCAAGATGATGAGTTGATATTGCCACCCCACCTTAGTGAGCTCATCATGGAGTCATTAAGCTTGGCTTGTCAATGCAATGAACCAGGCCAGTATTATTCAGTCTTACGAGCCTGTTTCGGGGGCTTATTCAAGGCAACTCGCGTAGCAGACATCGCTGACGATGCACGACAGCACCTGTCACTTCTCTTCGAGCATATCTTCACGACCGAAATATGGTAATATGTCTCTGGGCCTCACTTCGAACGAATGAGGTACTCACTGACGCTCACGGACGTGGTTATGGATGCATTGTTAGACAACCTCACTGCTGCTATTGATAAGCAACATTTTTCGTCCGCCTCTCAGTTCACACTGGAAGTTCTCAAGGAGCTCTTTGAGAGACCCAAGAAATCCCCACCTCCCCGAGACGAAGTGATGTTGCTAGCGAAGCGTACTCTGTGTGTGAAGGCCAGCTCTTCTTGCTACGACCACTCTTGGCCTCGAAAATGTGCCGGTCACGAGATCCTTTCGCCTCTGATAAACGATTTGGACTTGGAAATGTCGTTGATATTGAATACGCTCCCAGATTCGGGCCCAACAGATTTTTGCCCGCGATGATCCATGCGGTTACCATGCTACTACCATTTTACAGCAATTGGCAATTAAAGAACTAGACTTTACGGGGAATTCCGTGGATATTGTACATTCAATCAGTCAGCGATGGGTATCAGAGGCTAGGAAGTCGAGGCTCTCAGGCACAATTACTGATGCACGAACAACTCAAATGATTGGAAATTATGATGTCCTGTATCAAGATTAAACCTATAGCAAACATTGAGTTTTTGTTCTATATGGCTGACATACTTGGTGGCGATAGATCGATCAAATATTGCTATATTACCAGTTTTTACCACGAAACCGTTTTGACCAGCTCGGACTTACCATACAAGACAGCAGCCGCGAATCGATTCTTAGATATCTTGCACAAAGGCGACGTTACCCCCGCTCACAAAACTGCTATCTTACGACATGCAATTAATCCAATGCTTCTACTCGCGTTTACCCGAGGTAAGAAAGAAGCATCGATTGTAGACGCCGAGTATATCACCAAGGTCCATCGCGTCATCTGGAGTCCATTTCTTCCTAATTTCACCGGCAAGACCTTTGTCACTGACGATAGATCATATTGAAATGCTGCAAATGGCTAACTCGATTCTTGAATATCGACATCATCTGGTGGGCGAACAACGACAAGAAGTTATCAAGTTTGGATGGCAATTTTTGAGTGGCAAAGATGTGAGTGGCAAAGATGACCAGATGGTGACCAACGCTGCTTACATCTTGATTGCTAGGTTTTTCGACGCTTTTGACTCTCCCATGAAGATTGTCAGTCAAATCTTGCTTGGTTTACTCAAACTTCAAACCGGTGAAGCCAAGCATTTAGTTTGCAAAGCATTGGATATCCTCTTGCCGGCTCTCCCAAGACGGTATAAGGATAACCCTACTGAATGGGTTCGACTCATCCGCAAGACTTCTATTGAAGAACGACAGAACATTGCTGTGTTGACAAATGTTTATTTCACAACTGTAAGATAGCCTGAACCGTTTTACAATGATCGAGACATGTTTGTGCCTGCTGCAATGCAAAGGATGGCAGTCAGTGGTTCTGCCAATGTAGAAACACATGCATTAGTGGTCGATATGGTCGAGGTGATCATACAATGGGTACAACAACGAGCTGAAGCGTTATTGGTCAAAGATGAAGACACTCGTATGGCCGATCCGACTTCGATATCGAAAGCTGCAACCACTCCGGCTCTGCGGCCCCATTCATAGCTGGGTCCGATCAAGGACCTGGGGCATATGTGGTGCCTTACCCAATCCGAGACGCTATTATCACTATTCTGTTTAGAATAATCACTGTGACAAACGAACCTGCCTCAAGAAACTCACTTGTATCAAAATCTTTGACATTGATAAAATTATGTTGACTGAAGTCGGCCTGAAGTTGAAGTGAAATCGAATTTCTTTCAAAGAATATTGACGAGTGAATTCACTGATACAACAGTGATGAATCACTGTAACACAGCCGAGATCCTCAATATTGTGACAAAAACAAGCGTACTGAATGGCTTCCAAACAATCTATCAATCATGCAGACATTAGCTAAACAACCTGATGTTCTCAAGACGCAGCGCAATCTCTTACATCAATTGTTTAGTGTTTTACCAATCGAAGATTGAGTGCTGAAAATGAAGAGAGTAAAGAGCGCACTGAACAGGGACAACAGGTCGAAAATGACGTAGCAAACTTCAAACAATCGGCAACTCGCATTATCAAAAACGGTTTCAACGAGACGGAGACACGCACGCTAGAAAACACGCATTGGCTCTCATCAAAGCTTGAGATCAACCTAATCCAGCAAAACTCGATACCTTCATTCCTGATATAGTTCGGGTCTTTACAAGCACAATACGAGAGCATCTGACAGTCGCACAAACTGATAGTGCTCATCAAATTGTTGAACAAATCAGATTCTTACTGGAGCGTCTTTGCGATTGGATGAAGACTCAAGTGGCGAACTTGAATGAACAGTGCAGGTGGCTGTCAAGTGGATTGGTTCAGTTGGTGGAGAAATCACCTAGTGTGGGGTTGTGTAGATATTTACTTTGTCTGCAACGTCGATGGATTGAAAACAAGGACGCTTTACCCACGGCCAAAGAGAAAGCTACTATGCTGTTAAAAACGATGAGCTATGATATGAAGGGGGATGAGGACTTATTGAACAAATACCTTCAACTCATTCTGGATATCTAGTGTCTCCAAGCTTTGCCTGTTCCGAATTTACTGTCCGTCTCGAACCTGCGTTTTTGCTCGGCTGCCGTAGTCGTGATGCGATCACAAGGACGAAATTTATGGAAGTCTGATAACAGCCTTCGACGAGAGCCATTTTTCATATTGCATTATATGGTCAGATTTCAGAATTGGGAACCGCTCGCTGAGGTCAATTGGATGCATCATGCTACTGATTTGTTCATGGGTGTCATTGATGCGGATCAACCAGCTCTCTTACCAGGTCGATTACCTTTACCAACCGGGTCTGAGTCTTGATTTTTGAAGTGGGCCAAGTCAATCAAGCTGAAAGACATCATTACGAAGGCCAAACCAATTCTCTATGCAGATACAATTGAGACAGAATAGATATGGATCTCACTTTTCCAAGCCAGTTGCACCACCTTCTCAAAACAAGAACAAGCTGATATCTCTCGTTTCTTAGTCACTCTGCTTTCCAAAGAATTTCTAATCAAACCTGTTGATAGAAGATCTAACGTTGTGCAGATCTTACTTGGCGATGTACGTGCTTGTACTCCTACGCCAATTCTTCCACCTCATCTTGTTAGGTATCTCGCCAACACGTATTCAGCGTGGCTCATTGCTATTGAGCATCTTCAAGAGATGTCAGAAGAGTTAGTGGACGATGAAGTGACTCAGGAGATAGTGAGTGACGTGCTAGCTCAATTGTACACCGAATTGGGGGAGACAGATATTTTCATGGTCGTAAGTCAACATTTATTTACCTCTTTCAGGCATAGTGTAGGACTGATGACATGATTGGCTATCTCTACTGATTGACGTGGTTCAGAATGGCGACGGAAAGCTCTTTGCGTCGAAACAAAGCAAATCGGAGAATGGACACTTGCTGAACAAGCTGTAAGCAACTGTTACTATATCAAGCCATCAGTCCCTTGTACAATTGCTCATATTGGTTATATTCTTGAATCACTTATGTTTCATTTAAATACCAGTATACAAGATAGAGCACGTTCAGATTTGATCACATTGGGCAAAGACGAATCCAGTTTGTGGGAGGATCATTGGGTTCTATGTGTTAAAAAAATGCAACAGGTGAGTCGATCAAAGTTTCCTATATTGATTTGGATGCTCTTGTGCGTGGATCCCCTTTGATTACCAAAGGTTGATAGTCTTACAATCTTTGCAGTGGGACTTTTTGAGCGAGTTAGCAAGAGCAGAACACAATAGCAAACTCCTGCTTGAATGCCAATGGCGACGACCTGATTGGGATACGGAGCATGCGAACGTAAAACTGGCACTCAATTCTTCACCTGGACAAAGTATTCGAAAAAATACGCTTCAAGCATATCTTACGTTAATGAAGAATCATACTGGTGTGACACTCGATGAGGGAAAAGCGTAATTCACACGTCTCTGTGCCGAGGCAGTTCAGCTGGCGCTTCATCAATAGTACCAACTCCCAGAAATTGTGACCAAAGCACATATACCATTGATGCAATCTTCAACAATTTGTCGAGCTTCAAGAGGCCGCTCAAATCTTTACCAGTTTACAGACAACCACTAGTCAGAACCTAGATTCCCGATCAGCTGATCTGAAACATGTTATCAATACCTGGCGGGAAAATCAAAGCTTTATTGGCCAAATCATCGGAAAATTTAGCAAAGATGCCCTGACAAGTCAGCCTTGTTTCTCCCTCACTTCTGAGAGACTGCTAACAAAGATTACCTTACTTCATAGCCTATGTTCCATCGCGAGTTTATCTAATGTAATTTGACAATTCCAACGTATGTATATCAATCGCAAGAATGGAGAAATAAGTATGAGATCAATCTTGATAGGAAATTCCGTAAATCGGCGCCTGAGAACGCGAGTCATTGGATGTTTGAGTTTCAATATGAGAACTTTGATGAGATTGAAGTACCTGGATAATATATCAAGGTAGATTGTCTACGGTGTATCAACTTGTGCCGGATGTTGCTAACACGCCAGTGTTTCCTTGCTTTCAGCGATACAAAGAGGATAACAACAACCACTTCGTGAAGATCCTCCGGTTTTCAACTAGATATGGTGCTCAGAAACACAAGGACGTATGGCATTGACAGATCACTATGATTGGACACGACGCCAGTAAACACACTTTCATCATACAAGTACCGTTGCCAAGAGCGAGTCGCAGGGAAGAAAGGGTTATGCAGTGTTTCCGTATGCTGAATAATAATTGGTGAGAATTCATTGTCGCGGATCAGCTTATCGAGCTATATCGTTGACGATGATGATCTCTGGTTTGAATTTAGCCCTCTGTCACGTCAAACAGCAAGTCGAAGTCGTGATATATCTTTCACCATTCCGTTGGTGGTCCCATTTGCTGCAAATGTTTGGATTGTGGAAAGTGATCTAGCTCATTGTAGTCTTCAAGATATCTGATAAAGAACATTGTACTGAAGCTGGCTTTGCTAAAGATGATCCAATCGTAGCCTATGTTGAGCGGATGAGATCGTTGGCATACGATCGAGTGGATGTGAGTGGCTTTCTTTATAAAATTTTGCATTATCTACGCTTCGCTAATATCTCAAACTCGTTAACTTTTCTGGTCTAGGATTTGACTGCCACCACATTGGAGATAGCAGATGAAATCTCTGCCAAACTGATACCGGATTGTCGATCATGAAGAACGTCAGTATTCTGAGACCCAGTATAACGTTTTATATTTGAACTAAAATAACGATTGATACTGCCACTTCCATGGTACATGTCACGAAGTATGAGGACTGTAGGGGACCTTTGGTATTTCCAAAAACGGGCAACCATCGAATTTGCAAGTTTTGTCTTCATGACTTACGTCTTTGATATGAGCGAGCGGACACCGAACCGTATCTACTTCAATCAATCTTCCGGTCAAATTCACATCACACATATGTGTCCCAGTACGTATAAACATTCATGCAATGAGATTGGACAACCATGCAGGGTTTTCTGATGATTTTTCTACGTTTTGTAGCATTATTGAAAGACAAAGCCAAATTCTCCAATCCTGACCCAGTCCCATCTCGGTTTACTCCAAACATTCAACGATTTTTAACAAGACCGAATATCCAAGGCTGAAGCATCATAGCGATTGGACACGCCTTGACAGATGATCACGTAAGGGACAATATCTTCGATTATCTTGTCTATCGAATATTCTAATCAGGCGGGCTGCCCAATGCATTTTCAGGAGGAACTTGAACACCGGTTATCAATCTTTGTCCGTGATGAGATTGTAGCCTGGAATACGATGAGACAAATTAAATTAGCTCCTGATGATCCTCGATTGATGATCACCGTGAAACAAAATTTACAAAGCGTGATTAAGCGAGCGCACGTATTGAGTTGTGAAATGGAAAGAATGACGGTATGTGAACTCCCTTATACCTATCCCTTATATGGACAACTAAACTCAATACACATATTGAATCATCCTCTCTTTCTGCTTCAGATTGATCCACATAACCCACAACCCGTTTGCCAGAATGTAACAGAATTGATCAATACAGCTACAAATTTACCAAAATTATATAGTATGCATCCATCTTGGATGCCATGGTTATAAATGTAAACCATAGAAAGATGAAGAGAAAAAAGAAAGAGATTGCGTTTCTGGAGATCTCGTATCTTGAAAATAAGTGTTGTACATCAACGATCAGAGTTGTATCACCGTAAAACGTGCGTAGTTTGATTGCGATGCACTCATTCTTGCAACCACTCCTGTATGCCCTATTTTTGCTACTGGTCCCAAGAAGGCTATTGAGAGGTACACTGTTTGTCAAATGGGTGGTACCTAAAAACTTCCTTACAAGAGGAGCAATGATATCCTTGTGTAAAGTAGGAAAGTTAGCTTCATTGACAGGTGAAAAGATACTGTAGAATCAGATCTACGAGGTGAAGGCGGTTGCTGTCCATGAGGAGTCAGGGAGGTGATTTCCCAGGACAAAGCAAGTGAGCAGTGTTTGAGGTACAGCAGTGTGGAGGCTCAGGCTAGTCATCTAGTAGTGGGTGTTTTGCTGCTGATGGTGGTGAGGCTTTGGGTCAGCTTGGCGCAGCTCGAAGTGATTGAACATTTGCCGAGTACGGGAATGATTGTGATTGGGTTCGGATGAGGTAAGGCGCTGGCCGCATTGTTTGAATGTGAAAGGTTGGAAAGGTGTACCCGCTAAAGGGGAAGGTGTGATAAAGTGACAAACCGTCATATACGAGTCTGATTAATCGAATTGCCGTAGAAACTAGGTATGTAAAAGATGCAGTCAAGAAGGCTTGGAGATTTGCAACACCATATCATGTAAAGCCAGGCTTTCTGAGAGCTGATGATGCCCAGATGAAGACCCTTCATTAACATAATTAACGTGGCCCAGGAACATCATCATCTGTCCAACGACTAAGAACAAGACACTTCACATTTTTTGGTTGTTTGCACATGAGCATGCACACTATCAAAATTCCGTCCCAATTCCGTCAAGGAATTTCGATTTTTTTTGGGAGTGGCAAAATCCCGTCCCAATTCTGTCACGGAATTTTGTTTTTTCTGGTAATCAAAATTCTGGAAAAAAAAAATTAAAATTCCTTACGGAATTGCAAATTATGTTTGAAGTGACTAGATGAAAGGTGCCTTGGTACTATTATGAGATTGCAACGTAGAGATGTAAAAACTCTGATCCGTGAGTCTCAAGTAGAGTGAGATCTCACTATTAGCATACAAGCATAATTGCCTTATAGGCTCATAACACCGTGTGGACTGGCCAAGAAGAGCGATTGGAGAGTTCCGTTGGTAGAGGTTGTGGTGCGAAATGCCCACTTATGCTCCGTGATTAAGTCGAACATTCCTTGAACTGGAGTACGACCGGCAAGCCATACATCACGTTGGCGATTTAGGGCATTTCGAATGTCTCGGACTAAAGGCTCTGAGCCAGGTTCAAAATCGATGAGACACCGAATCTGCGCGGCGGGGCATCCAGCTGAGGCAAGCAGATTGATCTGGCTAAGGATTTCGGGCGAAAATTGTTGATTCTTAGAGAAGTTGTGAGGTTGGTCAAAGGGCGGGTGGTTGTGCTCATGCTTGTCAGGGGTCTTCAAATCACGTTGGACGACCCATTGATCTTTTTTGGAATGATAGTTGAGAGAGAGCCTGTATGGACAGCCGGTCATCTTGCTGGAACTGGTGCGAACCTTGGCGACAGAATTGACTGGCCTTCCAAGCAAGCATCAAAAGTAAATTCGGACCTTTTGATGTTTTTTGGTCTTGTGACTTTCAATCGCTATCCCATAACCTTGATGTCGGGCAACCACGTTCAAGTACATTATGCCACTGGTCATGTTGATGAACTCCTTCCCAAAGATGGGTGATTGCATTGCTTTGACTGGCACTATCCCTGTTATATCCGATAGAATTAATAAGAAGCAATAATAAACAGCAAGTGGTCAGAATGTAATCCAAGCTCAATCTCAAGACATCAACAAGAGCGGACCTATATTATTTACGGGCCAATCATCATCACGTTTGGCTTGAGGATCATCCAGTATGTTGTCTTCTAACTCATCTTCTTCGTTTTCAGCAGGAATAGTGTGTTCTTCATTTTCCACAACCGTAATTCCTGGTTCCAGCTGACTAGATGAAAGCGTAGTAAGCGATCCTGGCGGCTTGGACATGAGCTTGACATTGAGTGTGCTGTGGAGCACGCTCTGGGGTGGAGTGATGGTGGTTGGGAAGGTAGGGCAAGGGGGTATGGAAGAAAAAGAGAAGACTAAGCAGTTCTTGTGGGTGATCAACAAAAGGAACTGAGGAATGCCAAGAGGAACAAGACTTTTAGTTTGGAAAGGAAAAAGAGCCAAACCACGAGTGTAGATGAGCCCGTGCAAGTTTTTGGGAGTTGCTCAACAAGTTGACACTACACCAAATGTAATCTTTACCGGGCGGTAAAGAAAACTACTGACATAGAAAAGTCCTGAGGCAACAGGAAGAGAGCTAAAAATCTGAAAAAATATGCACCTTGTTCCTAGATGTTGGGGTGTCATGATGAGTATTTTTTTGTATTTTACACGCAGATATTGGTTTATGTACTAACAATAAACGCTGAAAATCATCAAAAACTCACATGTACAGTCAATTGCACAAAGCTTGGAAAGAATTCCGCGCCAATTTGCTCAAATTTGGCGGGCAAATGTTTCCAAGCTTTCTGAAATTGACTGTAACAATACCTGAAATTTGGGTCATGAGTATGAAGACAATATTTTGTGGTCTAAAAACTTCAATAACTTTTGCAATTCTGCTCCAAATAACTCGATTTTTGGTTCATTCAAAAGCTGAACTATTCTCCTTCACACTTCATAATGTTAGTAAGGTGCTATCTAGTCATTTAAACATTCTACATATGTTCAAACAGTTCTGCATGAATAGCTCTGTAGGATCTTTTTTAGACCAGCTACAGATGTGATGTCTCAATGAAAAATGTAGAGAAAAGGCTCACCTTTTTAATGCACTTCAAATCGAGTGATTTGATTCAGAACCGCAAAAGTTATTGATGTTTGAAGATTCCAAAATCCTGTCTTCAAAGTCAAGGGCCAAATTTCAGGTATTGTTACAGGTGGGTTTTTGATGATTCTCAGCCTTTATTGTTAGTACATTAACCAATATCTGTGTGTAAAATAAAAAAAAATACTCGTCATGACGCCCCAACATCTAGGAACAAGGTGCATATTTTTTCATATATTTAGCTCTCTTCCTGTTGCCTCAGGACTTTTCTATGTCAGTAGTTTTCTTTACCGCCCGGTAAAGATGACATTTTGTGTAGTGTGAGACTCCCACGAGCCCCACCTAAAATGGAGTGTATGAGAAACCCCCAGAAAGGATCGACGCGGTGGCTAAGCGAGATCAGCCTGACGTCGGCGGTGAATTATACCGTGACGCAAACAAGGCCAATCCCCGTGCCCGGGCTCCCCCGAACAAACTTCAACCTCAGCCATAGTTATAGGCCAAGGTTGAGGACCAAGGATTAGTCAGAACAATCATAATTAAATGTGTTTGACTAATAATTATTTATTAACAAGATAAGTTAATAAATATAACTATAAATATTACCTTTAAAGTTAATAACTCAGAGAATGGATTGTTGATCTTAACAAAGGCACGACTTAGGATATAAGTCCATGACTGAGTTTGAGCGAAGTAGGTATAAACCCATAACTCCACACAGAGTTTTGCTCACGGGAGAGATTTGAGATTGTATCAAGGGTTTCCATCGTTGCTTATTCCCCAATTCTTTGAGCACCGAGAAAAGAGCTTCTTGGGGCATCCTATATGACACCGCTATGGAATTACAGACCTGCGCCCGTGAATTCTACTTATTTCAACTCGCTCTTGATGATGAACGTGCTGAGCGCCGCAAACAGCACGAAGAAGACGAACGATTCTTGCGTGAACATTCATTGATTTCAAAGATGAGATGAATGGGACAGCAAGAGGAAAACGAACGAATCTTGCGCGAAACTTCTTCGATGTCCTAGATGAGATGGCTGTTTGATGAGCCATGGTGCTTATCATCTATAGGTGATAGCTTTGTGCTTTCTTATTGTGAATGTCTCAGTTGTTTCCTAAACCTTGATTAGATGTGCTTGCTGTTTGTTTTCTTTCTTTTCCTATGCCTATGCTATGCCCAATTGATCTTGTCTACTTGAAAGTGTCCCGAATAAATGCGTTATTTGTGTGCCCGATCAAAACACATGTGTGCCCGATCGAAACACAAAACGTGGTTGAAACAACCTTGAGAGAAAGTGGCAATTGAGTTAACTGAGTTCACAATCGTGAAACTTCATGAAGCTCTTCGTTGAAGCTCTGCGTTTCCAAAGGTCAAACCTCTGAGTATCTCAAACTCATGACTCATTCTCACAGTGGGACTCGGGGAATGTCCGATCTTTCCAATTCAAAAGGCACAGATGCATGTCTTAAACAATCAAACACGATAGGCCAGACATCAGATGAAAGGACTAATTGATACTGGGAAAACAACCGGCAAGAATAGGATGAGAACACAAGAGGGATAGAAAACAATAAAATGTTTTGTTTTGATACCAGACAACCATCAACGGAAAAGAACAAGAAAAAACCCATTTGCCCATTAATTGTAAATCACCTCCTCTTCGCGATTGTTGTATTGTTGCCAATAGAGAGATGTGGCGTAACCACAGTATGAGATGAGCGGTTGTAATAGAGGTTGAGTCATAACCTTAGCTGCAAGTAACAGAAGGTATCGTCCCTTGTCATCTTCCTCATACCATGCTTCTTCGCGGCGTAATTGAGCCTTCATGCTATGGAAAGCCTTCTCGATAGGGTTCATGTCCGGGGAGTAGGCAGGCAGGTAAACGAGGAGGACACCTGCCTCCCTGCATAGATGTTCGATCAGACCGCCGTGGTGGATCCGAGCGTTGTCCAAGACCAGGACAGAGTTGACTCCCGGATACGGATTCATCACCGGCAGCTAGGACACAGAGTGAGAGAGAAGAAACAAGAGAGAATCACATAATGATACAAAATACAAAATGTCCATTAGATATGAACAATAT